CAACTTTTAGTGCTGGACCAGTTGCCGGCTTGTGGGAGACGCGTAACGGCGGTAGTTCTCATTTGGGGTTGTGGAACTGCCCGTCGCTTCTTAATTGACAGGCAAAGATAAACCGCAACTCAATTTCAAAATTAGATTTCGGGTTAAATTGGCCTAATGGCCTCAAATGAGGGGAAAAAAGCCCTCATTTTAAGCTCAACTTCAAGAAGAAAGGTTGGGTTTTAAGGGGCTAGCTCCAGAAGTCGGGCAACTCCAACGAAGCACCAGCAGGTCTAGAGGCTGTTAAAAAGGATGCCAGTGTAGAGACTTGTTTTAATTAAGTTAATGCTGCGCGCAGCTCCTTTTAGGCACAAAAGATGTGTCAGTACAACACAGGTATAAGTGCAACAAGAGTTGCGCATCATTTATATATGGCGCTAACGGCACGCTTTCTGCCGGGCTGCAGTAGAGTCACGACCATAAATTCCCTTGAGGATGAATGGGAGTTAACAGGAGAAAATTGTATCGGGGTAATTAATCCTTCAGCTACCCTCTCCAATGTTGGGATCGATTTACCTTTTCTCCCAGGAGGCCCAATACACTGACATTGACTATATGGAAGAAAAGAAAGATTTTACTTACGACAAAGTGAAATTTCAAGATCTCCCCAACTTCGCAGATTATATGCATGACTACGGACAAAAATATATTATCATCTTGGTAAGCGTTTTACTATTTCTTTTTCCATTTTAAATATTATCATTATAATTCTTTGTTATTATACTTTGCCTATTTTTACGTGATTATTACACTTACTGCCTAGCATTCTAGCCCTGGGTAATAATTGGTGGAGTGCATTGTGGTCTCTTCTTACTTTTTTTCTTTTAGGATCCTGCTATTAGCACAGCTAATCTAGCTGACGGTACAACGTATGAAAGCTATGCCAGGGGAGAGAGCAAAAAGGTTTGGATTAATGAATCGGATGGAGTAACACCATTAATTGGAGAGGTAACCGCGCTTTTATGACGACGAAACTCAGTCTGTTGGCACTGCTGTGATTTAATTAGGGGGCGGGGGGGCTTGGCCTAAACTTCATTTTCTAAGTTTTTTCCTTTTCATAAAATTTTTCCAGTGAGAACTAGGCTTATAAGGTCTCGCTTAGCATATGGTATGCTGCCACTTTTCTTGATTTTTTTTTTTCTTAGAATTTTTTTATATTAAATAAAAAGGAAATCTAAGATATTTAAGTCTCAAGTCCAATTTGTTAGCGAGCTCCTGTTTATGTTCAGTAGTGACTGAAGAGCCAACTCCCACTTGACACTTTTGAAAATTTCTCTTTAATAGTTATGAATTAAGCTCAGTATTGTAACTTGTGTAACTTAAAAATAATTTTGACCTAAAAGCAGTTGAAAACTCCAAAGTTAATGAAGTCATATTTTTTTCTGCCTTCTTTCTAAGTGCAAGTTATTGTCACTGATGCAGTTTATCATCCAAAAGTCTTCTGCCCGTTGCTACATTAACACTACCCTGAATGGTTAACTTGAATTTCTGAACCCCAAATGCTTATCTGGGGGTGTAGTTCAAATAGGCTGGAAAGAAATTCAAGTATTTTTTTTTCCTCCTGCAGACTTATTAATGTCAATATACTCTATTAGAAATGCACATGCATGTTTCTCAGCAGAGATTACAGGGTTTTTTTGAAGTGATGTTGCTGAAAATATTATGAGATTACCTGTATCCACTCATAAACCCAGTTGATTTTGGCTCTAGTTGAAAAAGGTGAGGCTACAGAGGAGGGAAAACTGCACACTTTCTAAATTTCTTAAGTTAGAATTTTATACCTCATTAAACATTCTAATGTAACTAACAGCTTAATTATTTGCCTTTGAATACTGCAGGTGTGGCCAGGAGCAACCGTGTTCCCAGACTACACCAATCCCGACTGCACCAGCTGGTGGGTGGAGGAGTGCAGGTTATTTCACAATACGGTGCCCTACGATGGGATCTGGATTGTAAGTAACTCGGAACTTCAATTTTTTTTTTTAAAAAAAATAGGCACTGCCAGGTGCTGCATTGAATTTGAAAGGGGATGCTCGTTCCTGCTAACCTGGAAATCAGTGTAGGACTGGTACGTCCTTTGCTGTTGAATTTGCAATCCAAATCTGAATATGAATTTTAAACCTGCATTTGAAGCCTGCATGCATGCTGAGTAAACGCATCTTGAACAGGCCCTGAGTACGGGTTATAATACACAAAATCTATATGTCTATTCTCCAGCTAGCTCACAGAATTTCAGGTTAGTAAATCTGCAATTGCTGTTCCGGATTAGGATTCGGAAAAATCAGGCTCCCTTAAATAGGTTATCCCACCGAAGGATTAATAGGGAATATGGCGCAGTTGTTTTTAGGCTTAGTTCATGGAAATCAGGTAAGATTATGGACAATTTTGACTCACTCAGATTAGTCTCTTACAAGAATATTCTGTAGTAAAGCTTTTAAAGGTGGGTGCCTGAAGGAAATCCGTATTGAAACTTCTTAATCCCTGTTTAAGCACCTGTACAGGGATTTAATTTCTCTTTATACAGCGCCCCTAAAACTCATTTTGACTCAGAAGGATTTATAGATACTCAACTGCTCTGAGAAAAAGCTTAAATTATATTGAGGTGCCTAAGTGTGGATTCAGAAACCAGACATCGGTACCCACTTTGGAAATGCCCGTCTACATCTCCCTGTGTCAAAGGCCCCCAGGTGCGCTTCCATAGCGTTCTGCCCGGCACCGAACTCACATCGGAGGCGCTGGTAAATCCCAGCTTTGAAGGACTGTACAGTTTTTAAGTACGATACCTTCATTTTTTTTTTTCCTTTATGCTGTGGCCGAAAGTGTCAAATGCCCTTAGACTCGGGAAATCAGGATGTAGTAAATTTTCCTCAGGTAGGAAATAGACTTTTTTTATTCTTATCTTCTGATAACCGGTTGTTTTCACCATAATGAACTCCAGATCTACGTCTACAATTTAAAATTCTGGGAACGGCGTTGCGGTTAATCTCACAAAGCAAAGCACAGGTATATGCTTCGAATAGCATAGAATATAGCTGCATTTCAGCAAATTCTGTCTGATTTATGCTGATACGAATTTGAGCCTGGCGGCAGAATTCTGTGTCACCATATTGCACAGTGTGGCCTTCTTGCTCTTAACCCCTACAGAGAAATACCAGGGCAAAATGTCATTTTTTTTGTTTATTAAAAGTTGAAGACAGAGCTCAGGGAAAACAAAAAAAAAAGAAAAAAAAAAGAAAAAAGAAAGAACATTGCAGTTTTATTCACCAAGTAGTTGCTACTAGGACCAAAAGTGCTAACTGACTTTCATACTTCCAGCATGCACAGCAAGGTTTCAAATACATTTTAAGTTTGTCACTTACTTGAGTTTATTCAGATTTTTTTTTTTTTCTTTTTGGCCCTTAACCATCATGGTACTTCGTGTTTTATGAGGGAATTGCAACATGTAGCTGACAGTTGCTCATTAAAATGCCTTGGGGTACGTCAGATAATCCACTGCCAACGTGGAGAATAGGTGTTTTTATTTGCAGGTTTCTGGTCTATGAATGGGAGCATTGGTTTCCTGTAGACAGATTATTTCCATCTGCAGCATTACAAACAAATCTCAGCATCTCTTACTGTTAGAGTACTTTAAAAAAGACTGAAGATTATCTTCCTTTTTTTTTTTCTTCCTATTTTCTCTCTTCCGTCTGCTTAAAGGTAAAATAACTGTTGAGAAAGAAAATGGGAATCTACTGAATATTGTGCCTTGCATTTTAAAAAGTCTTGATGATTTTTAACCTGTATGACAAAACAGTCCTTTAGCTGCTACGTACTAGGATATATTTTTCTTACTTATTTTTACTAACGCTGTGGTTGCATCGGGTCAAGCTACCACGCATGAACCGCATAGCTCTCTTACGGAGAGCTAACAAATCTCAGTCTATGAAACCTGCCACCAGACTAAAGTCCATCCTGAGTTTGCTCTCTTCTTCCACGCGTGCTTTTCTTGCAGTACTTCTAGGGATGCACCGAGGGACGGATGCGCGAGTCTCTGCCGTGCGCTCGGCAGCGTGCACCCGGGCTGCGGTGC